TCCTTCCGAGGTGGGTAAAATGAGGACCCAGATTGTTGGGGGCAATATGCTGACTCTCTGTAAACCGCTAAGAGAGGGCTGAAAGCCCTATGAAGTGGTATATAAGTCTACTGCTATTGCTATTGCTATAAAAAAGGGGGAGGGACCCTGGAAGCTTTCAAGAAGACACTGGACTGCCATCTGTCAGAAATGGTGTAGGGTCTTCTGCTTGGGGGGGGGGAGTTGGACTAAATACCTGCAAGGTCCCTTCCAACTCCGTTAATCTGTTTAAAAAGATGGATTTGTGTAAGTTTTTTTTTTAAAAAATCCAAGCTCTTTTCCATCTTAGTAGGTTCGAAGGGGACGATTTGCCCGCTCACCGAAGTCCAAACCTCCCTACATTTCTCTATAAACATCCCCATTTCTTGCTCCCCCACCCCCTCTCCCAGTCCTGCCGAGAAAGGGACAGACGGTAGTAGGCCCTCCCCACCATTTGAGTAGGCGCTCCCGTGTGCCTTTGCTCTCCAGGGCTGCAAAGCTTTTCTGGCGGAGATAATGGAAAGTATAGAGAGACTCTGAGTTTTGGTCCCCGAAAGCCGACATAGTTGCTCCTTAGCGCTTAGACGCGCCAGCGGTTACCATGGAAACAAGTTTTTTTTAACCTCCTCGGCGCCCAGTATTTGGGGGGCCGTCCGGAACAAGCGTTCCCGAGACAAAGGTTCCGTTTGCGTCCCTTCGATAGGGAGACGGAGGCGAAAGGTGAAAACGCTTTGAAAACCACCAGCCTTGTCCTCGCCGAGGGTGAGTTGCATTCCCCCCCCCCGCCCCCGCTCTACACCAAGCGGTCTCGGAGTAACAGAAGGGATGGCTCAACCCTCGAGGAAAGCTCTACGTCGGAGAAAAAGGGCTTTTCCTCTCCTGCTTTGGAATAAGATGCATTAGATGCAATGGAAATTTTTTCTTCTTAGGGCTGCAATTGTATCTTGTTTCTATTAAGCATTTATGTTCTGCCTCTTACATCACTTTTCGCAGCGGGAAGTTCTTAAAATCGTAATAAATTCAGTTCAGAAATAAAGAATTCACCAAGGACACAAAAATAACATGAAAAGCATTCTAAAGATGAGAAAAGACTTCACATTTGATCAATATAGGTGGCCTCCANCCGTATTCCAAGTGTGGCCTTACCAAGGCCTTATAAAGTGGTATTAACCCTTCACGTGATCTTGATTCTATCCCTCTGTTAAGGCAGCTTAGGATTGTGTTGGCTTTTTTGGCAGCTGCAGCACATGGCTGGCTCCTATTGAATTTACCTCAGAAAGGGAACGCCACATCCATTACACAGGGTGGAATCCATGACATTCTCAAGAGTTCTGGAAGGAGAAAAGAATTTAAGACAAACGCATCAAAAATCTCCCTTTTTTCCCTTCTCCATTTTCCCAATATGTTCATCTTTATTTGTATTTTAGATTTCCATAAGTTTAATAAAGGGTGGCTCAGTGGCTAAGATGCTGCGCTTGATCAGAAAAATCAGCAGAAAACACATGGCCGGCAAGCTACTCCCACCAGGTCACATGGCTGGCAAGCCACTCCCACAAAGGAGGCCACACCCACAGAGTAGGTTCCAAAAAAATTTGAAACCCACCACTGGTACAAAGCATAACTTTGGAACACCTGGGCTGCTGAAAAATTTCAACCAAACTTGGTACACAGATGACTTACTCTCTGGAAACAAATACTCTGGGAGTAATACACCGCTAAGATCCCTTGGTGTGGGTGCGTCTGTCTGTCTATGTCCATGTCTGTGTGTTCCAGCATTAACTCTGGAACGCCTGGGCCGCTGAAATGAAAAGGAATGAATTATATCTATATTGTCAAATCGCAGTTCTTTTGACACTGATAGTGTACATTTTGGATTCAAGTTCATGTGTCTGTCTGTCTGTCTGTCTGTCTGTCTGTCTGCATTCCAGCATTACTTTGACTTGACACTATAGATATAATTCATTCCTTTTCCTGTCTAATACAGGATTAGCATAAATAAAGACAGCGTAACGCCGGGTTATCAGCTGGTAACCTATATAAAAAAATGGGGTTTTTTATGCCTCCATCTGACTCCATCTACTGTACATTCAGGGCTCCATGTTTGAGAAGACAACAGTCGTGAGTTTAGATTAGAAGACAAGCCATGAAGAGGAATGTAGTATAACTTTTTACCTAGAGGAATGTAGATGGAGGGGATGAAGGAAGGCTTCGTTTCCTGCTGTCCAGAAATTGAGATGAGATATAAGGGCTTAAAAAATAAATAAATGAGGAAGGTTGATTGAGGTTCAACGTCAAGAGAGATGGACTTGGATGAATCATGAGTCATGGAAGATCTCTCTCTTGCTGAAGATCCTCAAGCCAAGGTGAGCAGAGACTGAGCTACATCAACTAAGTGATGGTCTACAAGACCAGCTTCAAGTGTCTATGAGGTCACAAACCACATTTAAGCTTTGATTTGCTCAACAGCGATTGGTTGAATAGGCTTCAGTTGACTTAGTTGACATATCGTGCTCAACAAAAACCCATAAGTCTACATTGTGGCTCAGTACAACGAGTGAGCGGATCACATGGTCCCTAGAGACCCCAACCCTCTTCATAAGCAATGGTCATCATGAGATCCAGCTTCTAATGAAGGACCAGGGGTGACATGATAGTAGGGGCTGCCACAAAGAAGACCTCTTCTCCAAAAAAAACCTTGAGGGCAGAACAAGGAGCAACAGATGGAAACTAATCAAGAAGAGAAGCCATCTAGAAGTAAGGAGGAATTTCCTGACAGCGAGGACAATTAACCAGTGGGACAGAAGTTGCCTCCAGAAGTTGTGGGCGCTCCATCACTGGAGGTTTTCAAGAAGAGATTTATTTATTTTCATTTATTTACTTTATTTTGTCAACATGTACAACATGATAGGTATTAGTATAGATATGGACATTATCGCATGAGATTGGTACAAATAGATGGATATATTAGAGCCGAGGTGGCGCAGTGGTTAAATGCAGCACTGCAGGCTACTTCAGCTGACTGCAGTTCTGCAGTTCAGCTGTTCAAATCTCACCGGCTCAGGGTTGACTCAGCCTTCCATCCTTCCGAGGTGGGTGAAATGAGGACCCGGATTGTTGTTGGGGGCAAAAGAGTCAAGCTGGTTGGGTTTTGGTTATAAGGGTTACTACATCTGGGCATTCTAAAGTGCACCGTT